CCCCCCCCCCCCCCCCGCGCCCTCTTTCTGATACTGGAGATTGAACCAGGAAGCCTAGGACCTCATGCATGTTGAGAAAGCCTCTCCTGCTGATCTCAGGCTTCTTTGCACTCTTTGGTTAGTCTTACCTGTTTGCCTAGTCTAACCTTGATCTCCCTCTGTAGTCCAGGCTGGCCTTGAACTCAGGACACTCCTGCTTCAGCTCCTGGAGCACAGAAACGCACCACTTGGCCTGGCTCCTACTTTTTTTTTTTTTTTTAATTTTCAAGACAGGGTTTCTCTGTAGCTTTTGGTTCCTGTCCTGGAACTAGCTCTTGTAGACCAGGCTGGCCTCAAACTCACAGAGATCCGCCTGCCTCTGCCTCCCAAGTGCTGGGATTAAAGGCGTGCGCCACCACCGCTCCTACTTTTGTTAAACTAGCTTTCCTGTCTGCGTCAAGTCCCCAGACAGCATAGTCTCTTGCTTACCTGGTCTGGAACTGTAGGAATGGCAGTCACTGTCAGGGGCCCCAGCCATCAGAAGCTATGGGTAACAGCTCTTCCCACACTGGGTGGGTGGTAAGTGGATACCCACTTTGGGAGATTACTGGGCATCAATTTATAGAGTAAAATCCACTCAGGGTCCACTGGCCACTATTTGAGTGTGTATCCAGTTGGTGACCCAGGGACATGGAAGGGGTGTTCAGGAGCTGAAGGCATTGTCCTGGTGGAGCTTGATGGAGCAGTGACAGCAAGGGACCGTGGATAATGTGAGCTGTGCTTTGGGGGGTCAGGGGACCACAGAAGCAGCCTCTGTGAGATTCTTCATAAGCTTAACCTCCTTCCATCCAGGCTTCCCAGGGGCCTTTGCTTCTAGGAAGATGGTAAGATGCAATTCCTTCTCCCAAGGAACACACAACCTACTGGGGACATTGAGACAAGGCTGCGGTGGCTCTTGTGCCAGGACCCTGAGGGACATGCTTGTGTCGCCTCACCGGGTCTGAGCTCCTGAGGGTGGCCTGGGTGTCTCCACTGGGAGAGGTGATGAAACTTGGGTCCTGACATGTGCTTCCTTAAGGTGAAATAGCCATTCAAGCTGAGAAGCAGCATTTGAACCCAGTTCTGTCTGGTCCAAGTCTCTGTCTAGTTCCTAGCTGAGCCCAGCCTGACCCTCAGGTAGGGCAGCCAATGGGCCTTGCTCTGGAGGCTCTGGAAGGTAGAAGGAGACAGGGAGCATTAGTAGGGCCTGGGGCTAAGCAGGATATGGTATGTCACTATGTTGGGTGGGGGGAGTTTGTGGTAGAGAGGCTTCCTAGTAGGGTGGTGTGTGGTTGGAAGTTATCTTCAGTGGTTGCCTGGAGAGCGTGGGGCTTTGGGACTTTGCAAAAGCACATCTTGACATTGACTCATTGTCTTGGTGTTTGGGGACACCAGTACTTGCCTGCCCATGCGTCAGTTTCCCCAGCTGTAAAGTGGATATATTGGTTTCACTTCACTGTGATGAAATACCCAAGGCGGTGAGCTCATAAAGGCAAGGGTTTATTTTGTTTGACTGATGTTCCAGCCCCAAGCTGGGTGGATCATTGCTTTGGGTCTCTGGTGGGATCTGGACACATACACATAGCAGGGCAAGATGTTCCCTTCATGAACCAGAAAGATGAGAGCAGGGTCCCAGAGTCCCCTTCCAGGACAAGCCTCAAACCTTAGGCTCTCCTCCAAGCAGTGCGACCCAATGTACCAAACAGCCTCTGGGTGGCCAGCTCAAGCTGGACCACTGTGTGGGGATAACAACCACACTGGAGGCTTCATCATATCCACCTGTTTGAGGCTGCTCACTAGCATAAGCCATAGACCAGCAGGCCTCCTCCCAGGGAGCATTGGCTGTATGCCCTGGTTCTTCTGGGCTGGGTCAGGCTGACCTTGGTGGGCTCACTGGTGTTGCTGTAGTAGCTGGGTGGCCTGGGATAACCTCATTCACATGTCCATCAGCTGGGGAACAGGTAGGCTGGCTGCAGTCTCTTCCAGCAGGCAAGCCCCAGCTGATGCACACTGCACCTGGGCAGTGCCGACAGCCTGGCACACTTTTCTGGCCCAGTGAGTCAGCAGGGGGGCTTGTCTTGTTCCCTCTGTCCTCTGTGCTTGGAACAGAGCAGGGAGCTGTTCAGAAACACATTTGTCAAGCCAGGAGTGGTGGTACATGCTCACAGTGCCTGGAGTAATCCTAGCAGGCCAGAGACAAAGAATGTGAACCTGTCTAAAAATCCAAACAATGGCTGGGAATGTGGCTGCACTAGTAGACAGTTTGCCTAGCATGCACAGACTCCAGGTTCCGTCCCCAGCATTGTATATCCAGCCTTGGAAATGCACTTGGCAGGTAGAGGCAGGAAGATCAGGTGTTCAAGGCCAGCCTCATCTACATTAAACCCTACCTCGAAACAACCCAAACCAAACCAAACCTGTTGTCCAGTGGCCTTGCAGAACATTTGCTTGGCCTGTATGAGGCTCTGGGTCTAATCTCCAGTGCTGCAAACCCAACAGAAACGACCGAAGACCCTGTATTTGATCATGGAGCGCATTGTTCAGCCCAGGTCCCATCAACAGAGGAAGTACAGTCTAGGGTAGGCCTTCCACATCACAGGCTCCAGAGGAGGGCGACTCAGAGGATTTGGGCTTTGAAGGGGGCTGAGAGTCTCTGCACTCTGGTGGGGCGAGTCCTAGGGTCCTGCACAAAGAGAGCAGCAGCTGCCCCGCCCTCCTCCCCGCAGCTCATCTATATGCATTGGATGAACACGGTGGTCAACTACTGTGGCCCCTTCGAGTATGAAGTCGGCTACTGTGAGAAGCTCAAGAGTTTCCTGGAGACTAACCTGGAGTGGATGCAGAGGGAGATGGAGCTTAGCCAGGACTCTCCATACTGGCACCAGGTGGGCTGGGCTGCCCTGCTTGAGGGGAGGTGGCTCTTTGGGTGTGCCCATGTCCTGTGCTAGTCCTCAGTGAGCTAGAAGTCCTTTCTGCTTTAATATCTATCAGCGTCTGCTGCCCTCCTTCTCCCATCTGTCTGCTTGATGCACCTCCAGCTGCCTATCCTGGGGCCCTTTCTGCCTTCCTGCTGTCAAAGAACCTAGATGTAGCTAAGTGGTGGCTCATGGCTCTCGCTGTCAGGGGGTGGTGGAAGGCTGGATAAAGCAAACACCATTTCAGAAAGGAACGGGGGAGAAAAGGGAAGCATGCAGAGGAACCAGGCTTTGCCTTCCTTCCGGGGTGGAGCTCCGACTGCCTGGATGATGCTAAAGGCCAGGTTGTGGGTGGCTAGCACCATGGGCTGCCAGCTAGGTCACAGAACCTGTGACTTCTCTACAGACCCGAGGGTTTAGCTACATAGTGCAGGCAGTAGCCTCTGACTTCTCTACAGACCTGAAGGTTTAGCTGTAGAGCGCAGTCAGTAGCCTCTGTGGAGAACCTTGCCACCTGTTTGCACATCCTCCAGGGCTGACACTTCCTACCCATAGTTCTCTTTGACAACCCGTTTATGACCCTGCTTCAGGCTCTCTTCCTCCACACACCACTCATCTACCCCTCCTTCCGTAGGTCTGCTTACTCACCATCCACCCTCCAGATCACCCAGTGCCCCTTCTGTCCCGTCCATCTACCCATCCATGCATCTGCTTACTAAGGTATCCATTCTCCCAGCAGTGCATCTGCTTAGACACCCACACATGTACATACCGACCCATTTATCCTCCAAGCCATCCATCCACCTTCCTGTTGATCCTTCTACCCATCCTTCTGTCTGTTCATCTGTCTATTCCTATCCTGTATGGCCATCTATCTTGCCTGTACTTAAGTTCCTGGTACTTGCCCAGCACCAGCCAAGACCCAGTGAGGGCCACAGTAATGCTTCTAGTTACAGGTACTGAGGCAGAGCTGACAGTGGGTGAAGACACCCTTAGGGCGGATGCCAGGGTCAGCCGCACAGCCAGCCTCCAAGACTGGGGAGATGTTTGGCAGGATTTGTGGAGGAGGTGGCTTTTGATCTGGCGGACTTGGGGTCAGCATGAAGATACTTCATACAGTTGAGTTATTGAAAGCAGGAGAGGGCTCAGGGCTGGCAGGAGCCTGTGGAGCACCCCTGGACCAGGTCAGAGCCCCTGAAGTGGTGTAGGAGGGGTGAACTGGGGGCCTTATCCTCCCTCTGTCCCTCCCCTAGGTGCGGCTGACCCTCCTGCAGCTGAAAGGCCTGGAGGACAGCTACGAAGGCCGTTTGACCTTCCCAACTGGGAGGTTCACCATCAAACCCTTGGGGTTCCTGTAAGTGCCCCCCCCAGCCTGCACAGGGTGGGTAAGGAGTCATCCCAGTTCCGTGCCAGCTCTGCCATTTCCTGCCCCTAGAACACAGTGGGTCTACTGACCCCTGAAGCCTCATGTGATGTGGGTGCAGAGTGGCTGCTGACCCTCCCATCCTGCCTCCTCAGCCTGCTGCAGATTGCCGGAGACCTGGAAGACCTGGAGCCAGCACTGAATAAGACCAGCACCAAGCTTTCCTTGGGCTCTGGCTCCTGCTCTGCTCTCATCAAGCTGCTGCCGGGTGCACGTGACCTCCTGGTGGCACATAACACATGGAACTCCTACCAGAACATGCTACGCATCATCAAGAAGTACCGGCTGCAGTTCCGCGAGGGGCCGCAAGGTGGGAGGAAGGAACAACCTTGCAGGAGGGTGGTGCACAGGGGCAGGAATTCTTTTTTATTTTTATTTTTTTAAGATAGATTTATTTTATGTATGTGAGTACTCTGTCTGCATGTGCATCTTTATGCCAGAAGAGGGCATTAGATCTCACTGTAGATGGTTGTGAGCCACCATGTGGTTGCTGGGAATCAAACTCAGGTCCTTTGGAAGAGCAGCCAGTGCTCTTAAACTGCTGAGCCATCTCTCCAGCTCCATTCTAGGAATTCTTATTTGGCAAGCAAGATCTATCAGCTGGCTCCAAAGTTACTAACCATCCACCCGTCTGCCTGCGCCTTACTCTTCTACCTTCTCCTGGCTCTATCTGGGGTATTGAAACCTGGGCCTTGTTGCTGAGCAAGGGCTGTATCATTCAGCTCCATGTTCCAGCTGGCCCTGAACGCACTCTAGTAGGTGCCCACCATAGACAGTCACCCAGAGAGGCAGGCAAAGCAATGGCAATGGAGAGAAGCCGGTTGCACACAGAGGGGTAACACTGAGATAGCAGTCCTGCCTCAGCCTCCCTTGTCCTGGGACGACAGGCACTCACCATCATGTTTTCTGGCGGTTTTAACGCTTTAAAAAAACCTGCCTAAGGCACCGGGTGGTGGTGGGCATGCTTTAATCCTAGCACTCGGGAGGCAGAGGCAGGTGGATCTCTGAGTTTGAGGCCAGTCTGGACTGCAAGAGCAAGTTCCAGGACAGCAGGACAGGCTCCAAAGCTACAGAGAAACCCTGTCTCGAAAAACCAAGCCAAACCAAAACAAAAAAGCTGCTTAATGGCTGGGGATATTTTTCCATGCAGAATAAGTCCCCTAAAACAGTCCCACTGATATGTGGAAGTTATGTGCGAGGAGGGGTAGGGGGGAAGAGGACGGTACAAAGGTGACATCCTTGGCCCTCGGAAGGTTTTCCCTGTGGATTGGTTGTTTACTTGTAGCTGTTCCAAAGTTCCTTTTGGTTTTTCATTGTTTTATTCCTCATTTGGTCTCAGTGGTATACAATCACAAATCTCGTGGGTCCGGAGTAGACACCCACCCACTCTGAGCTCCTCACTTGCAGACCCTCCTGATGAATTTAGATCCGTCTACATTTTTCTTTCTTTCTTTCTTTCTTTCTTTCTTTCTTTCTTTCTTTCTTTCTTTCTTTCTTTCTTTCTTTCATTCATTCATTCATTTATTTGGTTTTTTGAGACAGGGTTTCTCTGTAGCTTTGGAGCCTGTCCTGGAACTAGCTCTTGTAGACCAGGCTGGCCTCGAATTCATAGAGATCCGCCTGCCTCTGCCTCCCGAGTGCTGGGATTAAAGGCATGCGCCACCACCGCCGGCTTCCATCTACATTTTAAAATGAATTTATTTACTCCTTTTAAAAACTGATTCACCAGTGTTTAAGGGAAATCTGTTTCCGGCTACAGGGAGGAGCAGCTGCTGAGCATCTTGCTGTTCATCATATTCCAAGTGTGTTGTGGAAGCAGTAGAGACAGCCAGTGGGGCTCTTCCCCTTTTGCTGCTGCTCCTCCTTCTACCGTCCTTCTTCCTTCCCCCTCCTCCCTTCCTCTGTCTCCTCCTCCTCTTCCTCTTCTTCATCCTCTTTCTTATTGTCCGTCTTCCTCATCCCCCTACTTCCTTTTTGAATTAGAGTCTTATAACTCTGACTGACCTGGAACTCACTGTGTAGTCCAAGTGGCTTTCAACTTAGAGCAGTCCTCCTGCCTCAGCCTCCTGGTGTTGGCATCCAGACAGGTGCCACCACATATTTTATATGAAGGACCTCATCTGCTATAACAGTGACTGATGGGATGAGAATGGCCCCCTGAGGACCACTTGTTCCTCACTTGAGACTCTAGTCTTGTGGGTTGGGGTATAGGGTCCCCACAAGGCCTGCCTGACCAACTCACCCCCCTCCCAGAGGAGTACCCCCTGATTGCTGGCAACACCGTGGTCTTTTCGTCTTACCCGGGCACCATCTTCTCCGGTGATGACTTCTACATCCTGGGCAGTGGGCTGGTAAGTGGCCGGGTCACATGCTCGCTGGGGACACAGCAGAGAGGCTCTGGGGGTACAGTGAAGGATGAGGCGTGCAGAGCCTCTGAGCTGCTGGTCTTGGGGACTTCTGCAAGGCCTTGAGTGCAGTGACCTTGGTTTGGTTTGTTTTTTTTGTGTTCGGCATAAACACCTCCTTTCTGCCAGTGACCTTGCTCTCTGCTGCCTTCCCTCTCCCCACCCCCTAACCTGGCCACTTTCTGAGAGCTGCTGTTCACAGTGCCTTGCTTCCCTGCTCTCTGGCTGGCATCCAGGCCCCTTTAGAAATCTGTTCCTGGCGCCCGAGATCACAGACTGATGCTGCCAGGAGACGGACTTTGATGCAGAAAGCGCTTCGGTGCAGCGGATGCTGGGGCAAAGCAGATGTAGTGGGGTTCATGTCTCTTTGTCTTTGCTGTTGCTTTTCCCTAGTGTGGGAGAGACTTGTGGGGTGGGGTGGAGATGGAGACACAGGAGCCTCAGGCCAACAAGCTTCCCCTGCCTGTCCCCAGAGGATCCTCTGTGTGTGTGTGTGTGTGTGTGAGAGAGAGAGAGAGAGAGAGAGAGAGAGAGAGAGAGAGAGAGAGAGAGAGAGAGAGAGAGAGAGAGAGAGAGNGAGAGAGAGAGAGAGAGAGAGAGAGAGAGAGAGAGAGAGAGAGAGAGAGAGAGAGAGAAAGAGAGAGGGAGAGAGAGACTGTCTGTCTGTGTCCGTCTGCACATGTGTGGTGGAACCTCTTCACTGGGCGAGCATAGGAGGCCATCCACCCCTTTGACAGTGTAGGATGCTAGGGACCTTCTCAGACTTCTATTTTTGTTTTATGTTTTGTTTTTTAAATGTATTTAGTGTGTATGTATTTGGTTTGGTTTGGTTTGGTTTTTTTCGAGGCAGGGTTTCTCTGTGTAACAGTCCTGTCCTGTCCTGGAACTCACAGAGATCCACCTGTCTCTTCCTCCCGAGTGCTGGGATTAAAGGCATGTGCCACCACTGCCTGGCTATTTTTTATTTTTGTGTTTTTGTTTGTTTGCTCTATTTATTTATTCAGGTTATTAAAGCAGTGTGTCACTTTGTAGCTCAGGCTGTTCTGGAGCGCAGCTCGTAGCCCAGTCTACTCGGGAGACTGAGGTTGTGTGCCTGGGCCAGGCCCAGCTTAGATGTCATCTTCATTGGTCTTCTCCTTTATTTCTTATTCTGGTTTTCTGGGGCAGGGTCTCATGTAGCCCAGGCTGGCCTCCACTTCCCTAGGACAGGGGTTAAGATAGGCCCCAAGCTCACTATGTAGCGAGGTTTCCTCAAGCTCCTGTCTTCCTGCCTCCACCTCCCTAGGACTGGGGTTAAGACAGGTATGCAGCACTGTGCCCATCTCCGATGTCCTCTGTAGAACACTCGCTTATGCTCACACCTGGACTCCTGGCACTCGAGAGGCCGAGGCAGCAAAATCACCAATAGTTTGGAGTCAGCTTGGGCTACAGTATGACACTGCAGATGCCCCCAAAATAGACAAAACCCTAACACTAAAGTACTGTCCTATGTGAGTCCTGCCATTTGTTGCCTCTTTTTAGCCTCCTCATATAAAGAAAGACTCAGACCAGCATCCTTGGGGGCACAGGGGACTAAACTCTGACTTCAGGCTGGGGGGCTGATCACCAACCATGACCAGCTGGCGGGCTTGTCTTTTAGTTTCTCTGGGTCTTGCATACCTGTCTTCCAGAGGAGGGTAGTAAGAGCTGACGGGGACTCAACTGTGAGATTCTCCCACAGCAGGGCCACCCACCAGCTGCCAGGATGTCGCTGTTTGATCAGGTTTCCCAAGCTCCGCTTGACTGTTACGAGTTCTGTTGTTTGGTCTAAGACAGGGTTTACTCTGAGGACCCGGCTTGCCTGGAGCTCACCATAGACCAGGCTCACCTTGAACTTGTGGCAAACTTCCTGCCTCTGGCTCCTGAGTTCTGGGTTATAGGCATGTACCACAACACCTGGCTGGTTCTGCATTGGTTTTAACAGTGATGTTAAATAGAAGAGGGCATGTTTATGTAGACACATGAGGGCCCCAGGGGGCCGTGATGTGAGAGGTTTCATAGGCCTTGTGACACCAGACAGAGCAAGGTGGGCTGGGTTCTTGGCAAGGTCTCTGACGGCAACAGTGTTGGGTGAATAGCCTCAAACCACTAGCTCTGCCTGTTGAGTTGAGTCTCCCCCAAACCAAGTACTTTTCCAAGGAATCCAAGAGGGGTGTTCACTAAAGCAAGTTAGGGTTGTAAGGAAAACACAAACATTGACTTCTGAGCCAGGACAGGATGGAGTTGCCCTGTGGATCTGCAGCCCACCTTGTCTCTCACAGGTCACCCTGGAGACCACCATCGGCAACACAAATTCAGCCCTGTGGAAGTACGTGCAACCCCAGGGCTGCGTGCTGGAGTGGATCCGAAACATCGTGGCCAATCGCCTGGCCGTGGATGGGGCCACCTGGGCAGAAGTCTTCAAGCGGTTCAACAGTGGCACGTGCGTGTGTTCCTGGCCCCATACCCCTACTTGGAGACCATCGGGGTTCTGGGGCCTTCTGCCCAGCCCCATCTTGCAAATGCTTACTGGGGAAACCCAAGCCCTTTTTTTGTTTTCTATTTGGGTAAACTGGGGCTCAAGAATGAAAGATTTTTCTTCTATCCTCTCCTGTAAGCGTTTCAGACTTAAAGTCGTTCCTTCCTTGTGCCTGGCAGGTATAATAACCAGTGGATGATTGTGGACTACAAGGCATTCATCCCCGACGGGCCCAGCCCTGGAAACTGGGTGCTTACTATCCTAGAACAGATCCCGTGAGTCCTGGGGGCAGAGGGAGGAGGGTCAGGAGCCCTCGGAGCTTGTCCCCTCACTTGCTTTGTCCCTCTCTCTGGGTCTCAGGGGCATGGTGGTGGTGGCCGACAAGACCGCAGAGCTCTACAAGACGACCTACTGGGCTAGCTACAACATCCCGTATGTCCTTCCTTTTTCCACCCCTACCCCCATCTGTTCTCCCTGAGGCAGGCTCCTTCCCCAGGTGGCATCTTAAACACGCAGAGCAATGAGAACTGCCCCAGCCCCTCTCCTGCTGTTAAAGTTCTACCTCATATGTGACCTCCAGTTCTGGTACTGCTGCAGGGTGTCTTTGGATGGACACACCTTGGGACTGGATATTGCCACGAATTCAGCTGAACCTACCCCCATCTCCTGAGAGATGGAGATGCCCATGCAGTACCCAGCCTGGGTCCCTAAATCCAGTCTTAGCCGGGCTCCTCCGAGCTGCCTTACAGCCTGTGCTTTCTCAGGGTGTTAAGGACCTGCCATTGGGCGCTTGTGACCATGATACCTGAGTGTAAGAGCCTGTTCTCGTTCTCATTCCATAGATGTGGAAACTGAGGCGGGGATCCTGACTCATCCATAGCTCCTTGGTCAGAGAATTCTGAAATAGACCCCAGAGCCCAGGTTTATCCCCTACAGTACAAGAGGGCCTTGCTGCAACCTGATGTGGCCCTGACAGCAGCTGCACCGTGACAGTCATGGCCAGTGGGAGTCGTGGGTGACCTCCCTTGTCCCAGCAGGTTCTTTGAGACTGTGTTCAACGCTAGTGGGCTGCAGGCCTTGGTGGCCAAGTATGGAGACTGGTTCTCCTACACTAAGAACCCTCGAGCCCAGATCTTCCGGAGGGACCAGTCATCGGTGAAGGACATGGACTCCATGGTCCGGCTCATGAGGTGGGTCAGCAGAGTCCTGGCTTGGTGCGGAGAGTCACGTGTGTGCTGTGACAGTTAGTCTGCAGGTGGGCCTGCTCCCCGCCCTCCTTGGGGAACCCCTTTCTCCTGGGAGGTGGAGATGCCTGCCCAGGACCCAGACTGGAGCTGAAGTGTGGCGAGGCAGCCTGAGTCCCCACACATGCTGTGGAGTAGACCAGGTGTCTGGTCTGCTTGGTGGAGGGGCCTGGAGAACCTCCCCCAAGAAGAGCCAAGTGACGAGCCTGGGGGGTGACCCTTGGAGGTGTGAGGGTAGGCCACATCTAGGACTGGAGTGACCCTGTGGAGGGGTAAGAGTGGGCCGTGTCTGGCCATGCCTGAGTCATGGCTGGTGCTGGGAGAAGCCTAGGAAGTTCCGGAAGGGGCCAGGGCCACCCTTTCTGCGGGCTTTTCACATCCCTTCCATCTGCACACAGGTATAATGACTTCCTTCATGACCCGCTGTCACTGTGTGAAGCCTGCACTCCGAAGCCCAATGCGGAGAACGCCATCTCTGCCCGCTCTGATCTCAACCCTGCCAATGGCTCCTACCCGTTTCAGGCCCTGCACCAACGTGCCCATGGTGGCATCGATGTAAAGGTTCGCCACCCAAGCCAGCTGCCACATGGCCTGGGGAAGGGTGGGTGGGACGGATGTAGGATCGGGTCAGACGGGTCAAGGTGAAGGGATACCTGCTTTGGGGTCAGCCTTAGAATGGTGCTCTGACTCAGTGGCCTGCTCTCTGACCTCCAGGTGACCAGCTTTTCCCTGGCCAAGCACATGAGCATGCTGGCGGCCAGTGGCCCCACATGGGACCAGTTACCCCCTTTCCAGTGGAGTAGATCGCCGTTCCACAACGTGCTGCACATGGGCCAGCCCGATCTCTGGACATTCTCACCCATCCAGGTCCCATGGAACTGAGAATCTGCCTGCACCCAGTTGCCTTCACTCTGTGTGGCCACCCACCCTTTGGGGCTCTGGTCTGGATGGTCTCCTCTGCAGGGACACAGACCCAGCGGTCTCAGAGCTGATTCTCTGCCTCCTCACCGCTCTTGCTCTGTGCCTGTCACCAGTGGGCTGGGGCTTATGCTTGGCTGTGGGCCTGGTGGGATCCTAGGTGTCATTCTCCTACTGCTGGTCCCTCAGTGTCTGTGTGGGACTCCGATAGGGCTCATCGTTGCTGTCACTACTAGCCTGCGGGCCCATCACCTCAGGGAACAGTCCATGTCCCCTCCTCTGGGCAGCTTTCCTGAGGTAGAAGCTTGAAAACAAAAACCAAAGTTTCTGGCTGCTGGTAGCTGGAGGGTCTTGTGTTCTTTCTGCAGGAGGGGTGCACCATCACCCTGTTCTCCTGCCCTGCCCCCCAGCCCGAGCTTGCCCCTGGCCTCCTGGTAGGTGTCCCTGGCTCTGTTCCGAGGGAGCCAAGCATGGGCTGTACTCCCACTGAGTAGGAGGGGCCATGGCCGTGCTGTGTCTTGTGAGGCAGCAGTGAAGGTCAGGGCCCTGTACCACGCCCTGCCCATTGTTCTCGCCATCCATCTGTCCTTTTACTCCTGTGCCAGCCCATTACCACTGTCTGTCTGCATAGCAAGCCACCCACCCTCCCAGCACCCATCCTCACCACTCACCCAGCCAGAACCGCACACCCTTTCCTTTCGGTTCTGAGACAACCCTTGCTCTGTAGCTCAGGCTGGTCTGGATTTACATGTGTGGGCCACCATGCCTGTTGTCTGCTTTTTATCTGTCAGTCCACCAGGCTGCCTCTGTCCACTTGTGTGTTCCTCCCTGTGTGTGCATTTATCCTTCCCTGTCAGGCTCTCTGTCCATCAACTCTTTCTCTCAGTATCCATCTCACATGCTATATTCTGGGTCCTCCTCTGGCCTGCTCTGCTGACCACCAAGATCCTAAGTCCTGTTGTGAGGTCCAGAGACCCACAAGAAACAGAGTCCTCCCTGTTTGGTCTCACAGGCTGAGAACTCAAAACCTATGAACCAGAGGTCTGGGCTCTGGTCCTCTTCCTGCCTAATCTGTTGGTGGGTCCTGGGAGATGTGCGCTGCAGTCCCTGAAATATAGGCTTCACTCTTGCTCACAGTAGATCCTCACTGAACCCTCAGTACTTGGACTTTGTTAGGAAAGTGAGGGAATGTCCCTTTGTGATAGGCACAAAAGCTAAGTAGAACAGTGTCCTAGAGCCCTGCCATGCTGGGGTGGGCAGTGGAGTGAAAGACCTGCTCTGCCAGTGTCTCGAGGTCCTGAGCGGAGTGGATGGCTCTGCCCCAGCCAGCCCAGTGCTTGTCATGTATTTTGGGTTTTGTTGGAAGGGGAGGTCAAATTCTCTTCACCTTTCCTGCCCTGCAGACAAGAGTACAAGGTTGGTTTCCTTGCACATGGGTGGGACTGCTGGTGTTTTAAGGATGTCCTTGTCCTGTTAGTAAGGACTTCATGTTAGAATGTGGTGGCTTTGTCTGTGCATCTCCCAGCCACTTTGCCCCTACCCCAGGTCTCTGTGATAAATGTGTGGGCCCCACTCATACACCAGCCCACTAGGAGATCCAAGTGACTAGTACATGGGTAGGGAGCATTGCTCCTCTGGTGGCCAGGGCAGCTGTGGCAGGGTGCCCGCCAGTGCCCGTTACAGCAGCTCTATGGAGGCCGGCCGAAGTAGGAGGCTTACGCTGCACATAGGCCGCATGTCAAGAACAAACAAAACTCTAAAGTCTTTGCTTTATAAATATACATATATATATTATTTATTTACAATGAAAAACTGCACATTATAAACGGGTAAAGGAGGGTGGGGGCCACTGTCAGGTGCATCCTCTGCCCACACTACTTAGAGGTGCGGGGTCACTTGGGCAGCCCGTTCAGACCGAGCTGTGCCTTGAGAGCCTGCAGCTGGGCCAGGCTGATGTTGCTGCCGCCACACACGACCACCACCAGTGAAGCCAGCGGCCTTGGCAGCCGGCCCTCATCCTGCAGCCTGCACACCACGCCACTGTACACTGCAGCCAGAGCTGCGCCGCACGCGGGTTCCACTAGGATCTTCTCGTCATCTGTGGGGAAGGGGGCTGGTCAGCTCTCAGCACTGTGGCTGGGACTATTCAGGCTGAATCCAGCTTCAGTTTCTTCAGCCTGTGCTAAGAGTTCTCAGGCGCCTGAGGGGAGTCACAGGTGTCTAGGTGTGGGGCAGCAAGCTGTGGTTATTAGTAGCTGACAGTGTGCCGTTTTTCATCCTTTTTGGCCTTTTTTTCTCTCTTTGAGACAGGGTTTCTCTGTAGCCTTAGCTGTCTTGAAACTCACTCAGTAGACCAGGCTGTCTTTGAACTCACAGAGGTCCACCTACCCTTGCCTCCCGAGTACTGGTATTAAAGGCTTGCACTACCACCAGGTTCTTTTTGACCATCTTGTTCCAGGCTGAACCCAGAGAGTTCTATTATAGACCACTTTCAAATCCAGCTCATCTCAATGCTTGCCCTTCTGACTCTGGCTACCAGGAAGCTCAAGATGGACATTTGAAAGGCTGGTTGTCTTCCCTGCTGTCATGGTTACCAGCCTCACTTTTTTTTTAATTATTAAAATGTTTTTCATTTATTTTACATACTGACCATAGTTTCCCCTCCCTCCTCTCTTCCTGCTCCCTCCCCTCCACTTCCCTCTAACCCCGCCCCCCAACCATTCCCCATCCCCATTCAGAAAGTGGTAGCCTTCTCAAGGGAGTCAACAAAGCATGGACCAAGTTGAAGCAGGACCAAGCTCCTCCCCCTGCACCAAGGCAGGGCAAGGCAACCCAGCATGGGGAATAGGTACCCAAAAGCCAACTCAAGTTCCAGTCACAGGTCCTGACCCCACTGCTAGGAGCCTTACACATAGACCAAGCTGCACAGCTGTCAGCCACATGCAGAGGGCCTAGGATGGTCCCATACAGACCCCCTAGCTATTGGTCCAGAGTCAGTGAGCTCCCACGGGCTCTGGGATCCCCTGTCATGACCTTAACCCTCTGCCTTTCTCTCCAGCAGGACTCCTGGAGCTCAGCCCAGTGTTTGGCTCCCAGGAATCCAGGATGACCCCAGCTGAGACTCCTAGCAGTAGGTGGAGAGGGTGCCTGACCTGGCCATTTAATGTCACCACAGTGGTGACTACCCTAATTGTCATCGGAGAGCATCTGTCCAGTAACAGATGGAAGCAGATACAGGTTCACTGATGATGAGTGACTTCAGTGTTTCTTCTTACCACTGACTAGCTTTAGCTTCCACTCACGAGGGATTCTAGGCCGAGGAGGGAAAAATGAAGGGCGAAAGGTCCCTCGGTACGTACCCACAAACTTCTCAATAGCGGACACAGCCTCCCGGTCCGAGATGACCTCAGAGAAAATGGGGTGTTCGTAAAACAGCTTCAGGGTCTGTGCCCCCACAGTGTTCACACCCAAGGCCTTGGCAACACTGGGAGATGGGAGTGGGGAGAGGAGTGGGAGACAAGGCAGAAGGATGCACGTAAGAGGCAGGAACTACAGGTGAGGGGTGGGGTTGGACAACCCCTGCCCAACTCGGGAGCCTGCACAGTGGTCTCCGACATCACACTGGCCTGACTCCGATGTGCCCTGTCCCCAGCCTGTAGCCTCGACCTGCTTTGTTTGCTTGCTTCCTGTCCCAATCTGCCAAGCTCAAGGTGAAGGCCTCCTCTTCCAGAGGGAATCCCTAGTCCCTCGGTTTACTTGAGGTTTTCAAATAGTCCCCTCCCATCCTAACATAGGGAGAGCTAGTCCTTACTAAAGGATTAGGTACCACACACTTCCCAAACTCAGTTTTAAAAAATATTTATTATGTACACAGTGTTCTGCCTGCATGTTTGCCTGCAGACCAGAAGAGGGCACCAGGTCTCATTACAGATGATTGTGGGCTACCATGTGGTTGCTGGGTATTGAACTCAGGACCTCTGGAAGAGCAGCCAGTGCTCTTAACCTCTATGCCATCTCTCTAGTCCTCAGACTCAGTTTTATAGAAGGGGAATCAGGAACAAAGGTAGGGCAGGCAGTGAATGCCCCAATGCCCCAAGGTCACATTAACTTAGGGGCTAAAATGGCTGCTTGAATGCCCCCTACTGCACCCATACTTCATGGCAGGATGCCAGTCCCAACAGCGACGTCATTCCCAGAAATCTGGAAGAATCCCTTACCTGATTCAGCCTTCCCTTCCTTCGACAGAAAGTGTCATCTCCCTAGAAGTCTCTTCTACATCCCTCAAGGATGTCTGGTGCAAACCTTGTCCAGCCTCCCTCGCAGCTAGGTGTGGCTGTACAACTAAGTTCTGCCCAGTGGGCAATAGAGGAAGCATAGACAGCTCTGACTGCTGAGGGTTGGTCTGAGAGTGCTATGTGCCAAAAAGATAAGGCAGACCAGGCTTAACTCACTCGACGATTTTAACTCTAATCATGGGTTTGCTGAGGCATAACCCTACTGTCAATCAAGGAGCAGCCCCACTTTGTCTTTAAAGTTTGGGTGTGTCTGCCGCGTGGTGGCTCACACCTTTAATCCCAGCACTTGGAAGGCAGAAGCAGGCAGATCTCTGTGAGCTTGAGGTCAGCCTGGTCTACAAGAGCTAGTTCTAGGACAGGCTCCAAAGCTACAGAGAAACCCTTGAAAAAAAAATTTAGGTGCATCCTTCTGCCCTCACTTCCTGTTTGGCTGTGCTGGCTGGCACAAAGGCAGCCACTTTGGGCCCTAGGTCAGCACACTCAGCGTGGTGGTGCAGCAGACTCAAGGAACTTGGCCCACAACTTCAAGGAGCTGTCTCTAATAGGCTTTTTTCTTTTTCTTTTCTTTTTTTTTTTTTAACTAGGGAGAAACAAAGTTCAATTTTGTTTAAGCTTCAAATCTGGGGTTTGGTTATAAATTCTTGCGGGCAAGAGGATGTTTTATTTCCCACCCTGTGTCCAGGATCAGCCAGGGTCTTGCATATTTTGGAGGCCAGATAAGTGTCCAGCAAAGCAGTGAGGCATGAGGATCTCAAGAAGTGGTCGGCATTGCCTGCCATTATCCACACAGAGACTCGTGTTCAAGGCCCAGGTGTACCACGCATGTGCCTGGGTAACTCAGGGCAAATGACCAAAGCCTCATTTTCACTGCATGCACAACAGGGAGGTAGGTGCCTGGACTCACCTGGTGATCTTGGGCAGGGTGACCAGCTTCCCTTCCTTGATGGCAGCATGGAAGCTGTGGGCACCAAAGGTCTCCATGGCGATGACAGGCACATCCTCCCAGCCCACTTCTTGCAGCCCCTGGACGACTCCACACAGCAGGCCCCCGCCACCAACAGAGAGCACAATGGCCCCAGGCTTGGCACTCAGCGTCTCCTTCAGTTCCTTGACGATGGAAGTGTGGCCTTCCCTGGGCAGGAGAAGGATGGCAGGTCAGGGCTGGGCTTCCTAAGACACAACGGGTGGTTGAAGATGCCAGATGAGGTCTGTATTTGCTTCTGTCCCAGGCAATGGTGGCCTTCGGAACCGGTCCCTGCCCTCTCCCCACCCAGCCATAGCCTCACTGAACTCCTTGTAAGTGACATCCCCCCAAGAGAGAGGAGGGCTGCGGGAGTAGGTGGACTAAACCCCTACTTCCTACCCATCAGTGGGTACAGTCCCTGGATGCTCATCCCCCACAGACTCTCAGGGTCCCCAGGGCCCGAGGTTCAGTTGCCCATGGCAGATGCTAGCGTCCCCACCTCATTTGTTCCTAGTCACCCCCAGATGAGCTGATCTCCCCAAATCTCTATCTGGGGACACCCCTCCCCATTGCTGATGCATGCATCTGGATGTTTGTGTGTTCTTTCCTGTATACATTGGGTGTGCAGCATGGAGAGCCAGCGGGGATTACACATTAAGACAGGTGCAGTAAGGAGTGGGGTGGCCCCATCTTACCAGATGAGAGGGTCATCGAAGGGATGGATGTACACCCAGCCCGGGTTGTTCTTTTCTAGAGCCTTGGCCAGCTGGATGGCCTCATCCAACATCTGCGGGAAGAGAATGCAATGATGGGGGCTCTGTCCAGCCATCAGGAGCCCTCTCAGCCCTGCCCCCTGCCAGTCTGCACTCACCTCTCCCACGACTTCAACTGTGGCACCTTCATTCTTGAGCCGCTCAATGGTGAGGGTAGGTGTGGTGCTAGGTACAATGATAGTGGCCGGGACGCCCAGCCTTCTGGCAGCATAGGCCGTCGCCATGCCTGCATTGCCCGCTGTCAGGGTAGCAATGGAAGGGGTGTGTCTGGGACCCCAGGTGGGACTCATCGTCCCTTTCCTGTCAGGCTCTGGACTCCCCTCTCCTCCTAGCTGGCCTCTGGACTTCTTTGAGTGGGTTTATTGCTGCAGAGACCAGGGCCCAGAGAGGTGATGCACCTGGCCTCAGGACACACTGTCCAGGACAGGAAGGGAGAGAAAGCCTCCTGGCCACTTACCTGAAGAGCAGACAAAATGTCTATAGCCTTGTGCTGCCCTCTGTGGAGACAAGAGGAGGGGTCAGGCTTCCTCTCTGTCCCTACCTAGGCTCGTCCCTCCCACTGGACTCACTTTCCTCCTCTTGGTGTCTGAACCACCCTCCCTTGGGCCTGTCTTCCCCAAGGAGACTGGCTGGGGCAAGGGAGAAGGTGTCGAGGTATTCTCGTGGGCTGGCACCCCATTGCCAGAGGGAACCCTGATATGTGTAGCCTACTCTAAAATTGCTTTCTTTTTAGAAAGATTGTGTTTTTTTATTTAAGATTTATTTTATTTATTTATGTGTATGTGTGCATGTGTTACCTGCAGGGGGGCAGAAGAGAGCACCAGATGACCCGAAGCTGGAGTTACAGGTGAGCCACCAACTCAGATGCTGAGAGTGAGCCCCAAGTGTTCCTAACTGCTTAGCTAACTCTCCCGCCCAATAGTTATTCATTTCTGTTTATGTGCATGTGAGTGTAGTTGTTCTTGGAGACCAGAGAGGGCGTCAAATCCCCTGGATTTGTGAGCCGCCATGTGGATACTGGGAACTGAGGTTCTCTGCAAGAGCAACCAATGCTCTTAGTTGCTGAGCCATCAGAATTCCAGCCCTTAAGATTATTATCGTTATTAATTATTATTATTTTGTTATTATTATTATTAGAGACGGGGTCTTCTTATGCAGCCTAGGATGCTACTCACTTTCCACCTTTTTGCCTCAGTTCCCTGGGTGCTAAAATCTTGGGTGTGCGTCTGCACACCGGGCTCTAGAACTGTCAGGTAGGAGGAAGTGCCCTTTCTGCCAGGATACCACCCTGCCCTGTACCGTCTTGCAGAGGTGTCCAATGCCTCGGATCTTGAAGGAGCCTGAGGGCTGGGAACTGTCCATCTTTAGGTACACGCTGGTGCCAGCCACTTTGGACAGGGCCATACTGTCACGCAGCGGGGTCTTCACGTGGAGGGGCTCCTGGACTGCCATGGCTGGGAGGCAGGAAGGAGATACAAAAGATCAAGACAGCTGCTTTCCTGAGCTCTACGATCCCTCCTTCATACCCACAATGAGAAGGGAAGGGCACAGAATAAAATCTCAGCTGGGCCCCCTCTCCTCCCAGAGTTGGAAGGTTATGAGTTCAGAAACTTCCTTAGACTGTAAGGGAAGGGTCTTGCATAAACATCCTTAGGCTGCAAACTTAGGCAAGTTCGGGGAAGGGTCTTGCACAAACATCCTTAGGCTGCAGTCATGGGCAAGTTTAGGGGAAAGATCTTGCACAAGGTGGTTCAGAATGAGTCACAAGATGGGGGTGTGGATACAGCAAGGCTGTTTCTGCAAAGTCACCAGGAACCAGCCTCAGTCCATTTGTTTCTATGAGCTCAGAGCATGTCAACAAACATGAAAGAAATGGGCCAAGTGGGGTCCCTGTGGAGAGTGGCCCTCGGGTCCACAGCACTCATCCATGCTCAGCATTTTTTGCCCTATTGTATGTTACTTGTTTAAACACACTGTGTGTGTGTGTGTGTGTGAGTGAGTGAGTGTGTGTGTACTTGCATGCATACACATATGTGTGCAGAGGTCAATATCCAGTATCTTCCTCAGTTGCCCTCCAGCATATTTTTTGAGGCAGGGTCTCTCACTGAGCCTGGAGCTCACTGATTCAGTTAGACTGGCTGGCCAGTAAGCCCCAGAGATCCTTCTGTCTCTTGTTCTCTAGTTCTGGGATTGTAGGTATTTTTTGCTGCGCTTGGCATTTTTGATGTGAGTTCTGGGGATATGGACACAAGACCTAATAGGAAGGGCTTTCCCAGGAAATCCTTTTCCGGACTGAGCCACCTCCCAGTTCCACACAAACAAACAAACAAACAAACAAACAAACAATATGTTCTTACTAGGCTAGCTTTGGACTCTCATCCTAGGCAGATGGTAACTCTTGGGAGCATCTACGTATATAAGTGCTCAGTCTCCCTTTGCTGGGATCACAGGTGTACCCCGCCATGCCTGGTATTGGACACACATTTGTTTTTTCAAATGAGCCTTTGATCTGGTTCAAGTCTGTGTCCTGGCACTTGGGAGGTGGAGGCAAGAACATCAGTCATTCAAGGTCATCCTTGGCTACTAAGACCCCATCTCAAAACAAAAACAAAGACTTGAGACTCCAGCATCAAGCTGTGAAAGGTTCTCAATGCTTCTCATATTTTTCCTTCCTTCCCTCCTTCCTTCTTCCTTCCTTTCTTTCTTTCTTTCTTTCTCCCCTTTCCCTCCCTCCCTTTCTCTCTCTTTCTTTCTTTTTTGAGATAGGGTTTCTTTCTGTGTAGCCCTGACCATCCTGGAACTTGCTCTGTAGACCAGGCTGCCCTTGAACTCAGAGATTCACCTGTATCTACCTCCTGAGTACTGGGATTAAAGGTGTGAACCACCACCTGGTAGCTCTTAGTTTTTTATAAACAGATTTTTTTTTTCCTGGCGTGGGGGACCAGAGAGAGAACACAGACCCTTGGTTCACCTTCATCACACAGTTCCCACACTGAGAGAGGAATCCTCAAGGCTACATGACAAGTTCAGGTTTGGCTAATGGCACCATGAGGTCCCTTTGGTGGTCACAACAGTGAGGAAGCATTTGGGTTAACACTGGCTGAGCCACTGTCACCTTGCAACCCTGTGAAAGGCCCTAAGAGAGATCCAGAGACAAGTTGGATCAAGCCTAGGCAGATGGTGACTCTTGGGAGCACCTCCATATATGAGCACTCACGTGTGCATGAGTGTGTACATTGTGTATGTGTGTGTGCTCCTGTGTGGGTATGAGACTCAAACTTATTGTGATCCTCTTGCCTCAGTCTCAAGAGAGATAGACTCAAAGTCATTGTGATTCTCCTGCTGCCAAGTGCTCAGATCACAGACAAGCCCACTAGGCGCCTCTTTCTGGTAGACCTATTGAATGATAGTCAGGGAAGAAGGGCATGCCAAACAAGGATACCTCCAAATTTCTTTGCTTTATCCTTCTTCAGCTCCTAGCTAGGTCCCATCCTAATACACCAGGTCTCCTTTGGACCTAAAAGGCTCACCTGATGCAGTCTCTGGTTAGTGGGTGGGTCCCACCATGCAGACCCCTTCCAGGTGGCTTTGGGGTGCGCCACCTGGTCCCTGCCCCAGGTTGCAACACTGGGGACCTTTGGAGAAATGGACAGGGCACGCCGTCTCCGTACTGATTCCTACCCAGAGGCCAGTCCCACCCGGCTCCATAGATGGTAAGAGTCAGGAGAGGAAAAGGTGTAAAGCAGATGGGGATGGGGGTGGGGTCTGGCAAATGGTGTGGAGCCTGAGCTCCAGGGCAGAAGGCCCTCCCTTGTCATTTAGCTCATGTGAGCACTCAGTAAACACAGCCTGTCACATCTCACCCTTCTGACATCCTGAGCTGGAGGGTCCTACCATCGTACCATTTTACAGATCAGAACACGGAGATTTGAACTGAATGTGCCCCAGCCCCTCACCCCTTCCCTGGGTACCACTCTCTGGCTGTCCCTGGCTGTTCCTGGCTGTCAGTCCTGCGGTACGGCTGAGGTTGGGGGCCACGTACCCGGCACAGAAGGAGCTGGACGGAACAGCGAGAGAAGTAGATTGTGTCTGTGTCCTGGGAGAGTAGAAGGTTGGCAGGACTCTCAGCTCCAGGCTTTTATTCTCCGGAGGAACCTCGGGGCAGCCAATAAGGGCCCCGGCAGGCCACGCCCCAAAGCCACGCCCCTTGGTCCAGGACGGGGCGGTGGCAGGGGAGGGCATTCAGGCCTGGTCTCCATCCTGCCCTCCAACTCTGTCCACCTCCCCTTTCCTCCTGGTTTCTTCACTTTCAAGTGAAGACACTGATCTCCCAAGAACCTATAGGAGCTGGGGTTGGGGGTGAGGTAGCACTAAAGAGCCATTGCCAGGGACCCTGCGGTCCATCTCACAGCAACAGAAAAGTCGGGCAGTTGCTGGATACTTAGTATGTGGCCATGAAACAACCACAGCCCAGCCACATGGTGCCTCACACCCGCGATCCCAGAAGTTGCAGAGGCAGAGGCAGGAGAACTACACGTTTGAGGTCAGCTTGGATTAAAGAGTAGGTCTTGTCTCAAAATAGAAGGGGCGGAGGGGAGAATGGGACTCAGTCACTGAACCCCAAATTAGTGTCAAACCATTAAAGACGTTAGTTTAGAGTGGAAATGAGGCTCGGGTCCCAGAGATAGTGAGAGGCGGGACTTCCAAGCCTGTGATTGACAGAGCTACTTACCTCCATCCTCTAGGGACATATAAAAGAGCAGATGGGTAAGACCCAGGGGATTGGGGGTTCAAGCCCTGGCTTTGCTGTTACTAGATATGCGGCTCTGGGCAAGATGGCCTCCCACAGCCTTTTTTTTTTAATGTTTATTTATTTATTTATTATGTATACAATATTCTGTCTGTGTGTGTGTGCAGGCCAGAAGAGGACACCAGACCTCACTACAGATGGTTGTGAGCCACCATGTGGTTGCCGGGAATTGAACTCAGGACCTTTGGAAGAGCAGGCAATGCTCTTAACCACTGAGCCATCTCTCCAGCCCCCTCCCACAGCCTTTGATTGCTCATTTGTAAATGGGAATAGACACCAGCACCTGTGCGCCAGGCTCTGGAGATGTGAGTGTGTGTTAGGTCTCTCACCTTAAAACTGAACAGGCAGCCAGTGTGTATTAGTAGCCTTCATCATCACCATAACCACGGTTACTATGGACACCATCATCTTCATCATCGCTATCTTTGCTACAGTCAACCCCATCCCCATCACTACCATGACCTAGAACTGGGAGGTCTTACACCTAAAATCTCTTTCAGCTCTACTCCAAGCCTCTGGCCTGTTTCTGGCTGTGTGCAGAGGCCTGTGTATCCACAAGGGCGCACACACACTCGCACGCGTGCACACTGACAGGCAGGCGGTCCAACTGCTTCTTTCTCTGGCCTCCCCAAGAATGCTCTCTTGTCCTGATGGCTGTGCCAAGAACACCGATGGATGCAGCGTGGCGACAGCGCAGTCGGCTTGCCCTGGCACCCCCCTCCCAGGCGGAACAAGCTGCACATTGTCATTGCTCCCTCTGATCACCCACAACAGGGATGGCCACAGGGTGTGGGTCAAAGGCATGAGATAGGCAAGCTGGGGTAACATGGTTATCACAAAGCTCTTGTGTAAGAAACATAATGAAGGCAATATACAGCAAGCCATCAGTCAACATCAAACTAAATGGAGAGAAACTCAAAGCGATTCCTCTGAAATCAGGAACAAGACAAGGCTGTTGACTCTCTCCATATCTATTCAACAGAGTAGTACTTGAAGTTCTAGCTAGAGCAATAAGACAGCATAAGGAGATCAAGGGAACACAAAGCCATTGTGTGGATACAATCATCTCTGGTTTCTCTGTACCAACACCCTATTGCCAGAGTAACGGAGTCCTGGTCCCACGCTATGGATCACCTGTATGTATCTGACTTCCTTTGACCCATGTTGTAGGTAAGGACAGGCCTGGGGGACGGCATTTACTGAGAGTCATCGGAGCAAGGATAACTTGGAGGATGGTAACTTGGGGACTCTTAGTTTTTAGGGAACACAGAGCTGATGGAGAGGGTTGGACGGAGGGTTGATGGAGAGCAGTTCGGATACACCTGGAGGGTCTAGATATCATTATTTTAGATTAAATTTGAGTCAGGGTCTCATGTAGCCCAGGCTGGCCTTCAACTCACTCAGTTGCTGAAGATATCTTTCAACTCCTAAATCTCCTGCCTTCACCTTTGGAATGCTGAGATCATAGGTGAGTGCCAACTGTGCCTACTTTACCTGGTACTGAGGATCAAATGCAGGGCCTTGTACATGCTGGAAAAACACTCTGCCAACTCAGCCATGTTCCCAGCCCCACCCCTTTCCAGGCCTTTCACACAGGCCTCCTTCCCACCTCAGTCCAGCCCAGCATCTCAAGGTGGTATGATTTTTGCATCCATGGGGACAGTCCCTGGAGATACATTAGATGTATCAGAGTGGAGAATGTCAGGCTTAGTCACATGCAATGTCTGGCGCAGCTATAGATACCAACGACTGTGTCTAAGGAACCACTCCAGGGTAACACGGATGACACCCAGCCCTCCTTGTTTTGCCATCTCTGTTCCTGGCACTGTGGCCATGACTTAACCTCGTGTACAAAACATGTTTTATTACAACTGCTGCTGAAACAGAGCCCCGAGAGGCGTCACATGGGCATGGTGGCTCGTACCCATCACCCTAGCACATGGGAGGCTGAGGCGGGAGAATTGCTACAGGTTTGAGGCCAGACTGGGGTATAGAAAGAGATTGTGTCTCTAAAGAAAAGGAAAAAGTGGCCAGGTGTGGTAAATCTGTAAACCTGGCACTTGGGGGGGGGCAGAAACGGGAGGATCAGGAGTTTGACGTCATCTGGTGGATTCAAAGCTAGCCTGGGATACATGAGAACCTGTCTCGAAAAAAATAAAATGTGACACACAGACACACACACACACACACACAGCTGGAAAGACGGCTCAATGGGTAAAGACATTTGCTGCCAAGCCTGATGACTCCCACAGATTGTCATATGACCCCCACATGTATGCCATGGCACATGCACAAAACCCCAAATAAATAAATAAATCTAAAAAAAAGAAAAGAGTTTGTCTGAACAAAGAGTCTCCCTTGCTTTGGACTCTGTGTCCAACCTCTGTGGTCCCTGCTGGGGGACTTGGCAGCCACTGGGCTCTTTTCACCGTGGTCATCTGCTGCAACCCTCGCTGGATGGGTGGGGACTCCGTCCCTTGCTGACTCCCCCTGTGCGTCATTCCTAGTGACAAACAGTCTTTGCTGATCCCTGAGTGTAAAATCAGCCACCAAGCCAAGGTCAGGACCTGGCAATAGCTGGAGCCTCTCCACAAGGTTATCATTGCCCATGGTGACCCATGGTGACCCGTGCTGGACGTGGGGAGCTGGGCCAGATCCCATGCCCTTAGAGACCCCGAGAGAGACAAAGCCGCAGCTTCTTGACAAATGAGGAGTGAAAGAACCTCATACTGCAAGGGCACGTACACTGCTTAATTTGAGACGACAGGGCTGGGTTTTTTGCTTTTTTTTTTCTTCCCTTCTCCTAGGGGTTGCAGCAAATACTACTACTTGAATAATAGTAATGTGAGAACCTTTTGGGGCTCCAGCCCATAGTACCCCTTTAGGGGTGGTGGACAGCAGGGTCAGGGCCTGTCCCCAGCCCTCTCCACACCAATGTTTTCATCTGTCACAAACTCTTTCCATTTCTCTGAAGTCCAAGGGGTTTTGTTCTATGAGCCAGCGTCTCACTACGTAGCCCAGGCTGGCCTTGAACCCTTCATTCTCCTGCTTCAGCCTCTGAGTGCTGGGACCAGAGGTGCACACCACTATACCCAGATTAGCTATGGGTTTGTTTGTTGTAAGGTGGGTTCTCCCATAGCCCAGGCTGGCCTTGAATTTCCTTTGTAGCCAAAAATGGCCTTCATCTTCTGATTATCCAGTCTCCACCTCCCAAATGTTGAGATTTCAGGCATTCATCATCACACCTGGCTTAGGTATGCATTTTTAAGTCTCTAGTGAGGCGCACCCAGGTTGACTGTCCCTCAAAGACCCAACTAGTCACTTTTTTTTTTTTTTTTTTTTTTTGTTTTTCGAGACAGGGTTTCTCTGTGGCTTTGGAGCCTGTCCTGGAACTAGCTCTGTAGACCAGGCTGGCCTCGAACTCACAGAGATTCGCCTGCCTCTGCCTCCCGAGTGCTGGGATTAAAGGCGTGCGCCACCATTGCCCGGCTCCAACTAGTCACTTTAAAAAAAAAAACTAACTCCTTCCCTTGCTCTGGGCAAATGAGTTGTGGTGGTGGAGAGTGTCTCTGCCAGAGTTTCAAACTCAAATACCTCTGAGGTTCAGTCACAAGCTGTTGGGTGCGGGCTAGGTGGATAGGGTGACCACAGGACTTTGACTTTCCAGAGAGGATGGTATAGCTTAGATCGGCTGATGGAAATAATGCCCTAAGGTTGGATTCTCAGGCCTGCAATGATCAAACTTCTTGGTCCAGTGTGGGGAGTCTTTGAACTTGGCTGAGGAGCCACGCCGTGTTGGGTGTGGGAAGACCCAAATTTCCTTGCTCTCAGTCGCTGCTCATTGGCTGCCCTGGTGGCTTCTTCACCTGCCAGGTCCCTGGTCCTACCTAGTGACTCAGAAGCCTTGCAAAGAGGAGTTTGAGGTGAGACTTGTGACGGAGGGGGCCGGGCAAGTGCCCGAGGCAGAAAGGTCTCTTTGTCCTGGGAACAGGGTGCACAGCTGGGGCTGAGGTGGTGAAATGAGGATTAATGAGCAACCCAGAGGACTGGCATGGTGGCTATGTGGTGGCCTGAGGTGTCAGGGACAGGAGCTGGCTGACAAACATAGCCTCTCCCCACTCCATTAGCCTTCCCAGCCCACCCTCCCCCTCATTCCAGCCAGCCAGCCAGTGACTGTGGAGCCCAGCCCTTCTGCCGCTCAGCCTCCTCCAGCTCTGCCCCTGCTATGTGACCTTGCGCAAAAGACTTGGGTTCTCCGAACCTGTCTCCTCAGTGCGGGGTTGATTTTAATGGTTTATTTTTGTACAGGTAATTGCACATTCTGTGATGAAATGACTCCTTAGACTTCTTAGGAAACCTCTTTTACAGCCATAAGAATGATAACAGAGTGCCAGCTGTCGGCCCCAGTGTCTGCTCTACCAGGACACGAGGCCCATATCCCCCCCCCCCCCACACACACATGCAGAGCTCAGACAAGGCACAGAGAGGTAGAATGATCTGCCTGGGGTTCCCCAGCCAGGAAGTGGTGTTGCTACTATGTGCATCAGAGCCTGTTCCAAGATCTGTGTTCTGGATGCCGAGCACCCTGCCTCCCCACAGGAGCACTGTGCCATTCTCTTTTCTTTCATTTCTTGGTTTTCATTTAAAAAAATTAAAATTACATTTGGTGTGTGTGCGTGCATGCGTGTGTGCATGCGTGTGTGTGCACGCACATGTGTGCGAGAGCATTGTGTGAGCATGTGTGCGTGCATGCGTGCATGTGTGTGTGCGCATGTGTGCGCGCCTGTGTGTGTGTGTGCGCGCGCGCGCCCGCGCGCGTGTGTGTGTGTGTGTGTGTGTGTGTGAGCGTGTGTGTGTACGCGCACGTGTGTGTTGGTGCACTTGTGTGCCACAGCATGTATGTGGAGGCCAGAGGTCCATTTTTTGGCATCAGTCCTCTCCTTCCACCATGTTGGTCCTGGGAACCGAACCCAGGACATCAGTTTGGTGACAAGTGTTCTCACCTGGCAGACCATCTCAACAGTCCTGTTTGTCTGTTTTTGTTTTGAGACAGTCTTGCTGTTGAATTTACAGCATCCTCCTGCCTCAGCCTCTAGAGTGGTGAGATTACAGGTGTACTAGCACTTGTCTTGTCTTATTACTTATGATTTTTCTTTTAAAAATGATTTAGTTCAGCACTGTGGTGTACACCTTTAATCTCGGCACTCAAGAGGCAGAGGCAGGAGGATCTCTGTGAGTCTGAGGCCAGCCTGATCTACAGAGTGAGTTCCAGGACAGCCAGGGCTACATGAAGAAACCCTGTTTCAAAAATACGAAATAATAATAGTACTTTTTTTTTCTTCTTTGTTTTGTTTTGTTGAGACAGGGTCTCACCATGTAGCCCTGGCTGTCCTGGAACTCGCTCTGTAGGCCAGGCTGGCCTTGAACTCACAGAGATCTGCCTGCCTCTACCTCCCCAGTGCTGGGGTTAAAGGCGTGCGCCACCACCGCCCTGCTTATTATTTT